TGTAAATAAACATATTCACTACATGGTTCCGACGATAGTTAGAAGTTTTAACAAAGCATATTGTAACAAATTTAAAGATCTCTTGCTGAACCGACTGGTCTGCATACAAACCCATCCAAAATATTTCTGGTTACTTCCAAAGAGCGAATTTCTCAGAAGCTGGGTACATCAGTATGACATAACGAAACAGTCTCAAACATGCCTTATAAGTCCTGTAATCTGCAGCAATATAAGCCCTTCTCCCCCTTAAGGTTTCTTTAGAATATAGTTGGCCATTGCAATTTATCCTCCCTGTTCTGAACATTGGCTTTTCGTAGTAGTGCAGGAACTCATTTTTGAGATGAAATTATCAAAACACACATTACAACAAGTGTTCTCTCGACAAAAGAAAATAGAGAAATATAAAGAAAGTGATGCTGTCGAAGTAGACAGAGGAGAGTGAAAAAGAGACATTCAATAGAGGGTACGTGGGGACAACGAAGAGGATGTTGTGTGTGAGAATAAATAAAATGAAACAGATGTTAAAAAAGGGAAAGCAAACATAGCTTTATATCAGCATATGAAACAGTGGGGATATTATGCAGACTTCGATAATGTAAGAATCATTGATAAGGAGAGGAGACAGAGAACAAACTTTATACACCTATGCACATATCATTGATTAGCAAAGAAGATAAAAAATGCTGCGATATTCGGTTGCCACAATATAAAAAAGCACAAAGGTGCATGTACAAAAAGAGTTTTTTACTGCCTTATGTCATCGACTGTAAAGGAATTCGAAGCAGACATGTATCGCAATCTAGTGGAAACGGAAAATTTGTTAGATAACGAGACCATAGACAATATTGCTACAACTTTTGTTGAGGAACTTTCGATTTAACTCTGCACGAAGATTCAGAGGTATTATCATGCTGCGGAAAAAATGAAACCTATAAAGAAACATATTTAAAAATAGCTCGCTTTAGCTAAAAAGATTTAATAGCAGATGTCCAAGAAATGATAAGCTTCTTTAGACATATAAGGAATATGAATTCCTTAGGATGTGGAACGCAACTAAAAAATCCTAAAAATCTTCTAAAAATGTAAATACTCGTAATATTTTGAACGAAAACTGGAAATTTTATTCAATACGGCGATAGCTGTAGGATTTTATAAGGATTTAGATTCCATTTGACCGGGAACATAAGTAAAATAAAGTTCTGTCTATGATTCGTCTGCTAGGTCCCCCTTTATTCCAAACCTTAACAGCCAGTGAATTAAGGTAAAAGTAATCAAAACTGCAAATTATCCATAGACATATATCAACATAATCATTAATTCGGATAGGACAGATAGATTCACCAATGAAGAAGCTGCAAATTGTATTGCATCTACAAGTCGTTAACAACATACAAACGATTTTGAGATCACAAGCACCAAATAAAAACACAGAAGATATGGTCAATCCAGTAGAAAGGGATACTTTGTTAGATAACGAAACCAGGAAATATTCAGCAACTTTGTTGACCTTGCACCGGGCGATTTAGTTTTGGACGAAGATTCAGGAGACTTATAATTTCCACCCATTTACTGCGGGAAATCGAAGTTACAAACAGAACAGCCGCTGAATCCATCTTAAGTTGATTATGATACCTTCCAAAAAATAGGCAACCGAAATATATCCAAAGAAGAGGATCATCAAACATAAATGCCATATATTGGATGAAACACGTTCACAAAATGCAAGTTGTTAGCTTAAGATGAAGATTTAGAAGAATTTTCATTCCCATCCATTTACTGCGTGAAAACGAAACGTTTGCATCTTATGTTCAAAAATAGTAGATTGGGCGCCAAAACTCTAATTATTTTTCAAATAAGAGAGGATGTCACATTATTCTGGGAGCCACATTTAGAACATGAAACACACGAATCGGGCTGAGGAATATTGGAGCAGGAAACAATTGACATCAGTCTTTAAGAAATCCGAAAAAATATTTGTCCTACAAACACTTCTAAAAACCTCTTACGGAAGCATACGAAAGAGCTATCCAATCTGTTCCCCTGAAACCTATATACTGATCTCTCACATTGAACAAAGCCTAAACTTTTATTTTAGAGACTTAAAGGCGCAGTTGATTTAATTGTTTTTTATACGAAAAGGAATTCAGGCTTTAGACATTACTAATGATTGACAGATATCCATCCCCTGCCACATTACCTATCAATCACTCTGAATGTATCTTTTAAACAAGTATGTTTTTGTATCTCATGTTTGTGATGTGAACATGAACCGTTTAAATGAATTTCAAATTCCAGCTTATTCTGAAACACGAACATTAAACTAATTACCAAATTTATTTAAAAAAAAAAAACATTTACGTACACAAAAGGAGCGCCTAATGAAATGTTAAATGTTAACAACATTTGTTTGATATCATAACCCAAAAGAATACAACAAAAGAGCATATCAAGAACAACAAAGTTAATAAATGAAATGAATACACTTGAAGAAATAGTATGTAGATTTTAAATTCGTATAGAAAGGTTGTTCTCGAACTAATTTTCGTATAGACAATTTGTTATCAAACCACCACAAAGTCGTTCGATAACATAGAAACATAGACAAGTTATTATCGGACAACTTTTCGTATTGAAAAGTTGTTATCGAGCCACTTTTCGTATAGAAAAGTTGTTATCGTAAAAATTGTCACACACAAAAGTGTTTGTCATAATAATTTTTTTTTTATCGGTAAGAGGTTATCAAACAGTTTTTTAATCCAATATTGTTATCGAACAACTTTTCGAGTAGAAAAATTTCTATCGTGTTGAACAATTTTTTCTATAGTATAGTTGTTATAGAACAGCCTTTCGTATAAAAAACATTATTATCGGAAAACTTTTCGCATAGAAAAGTTGTTATCGAACAGCTTTTCGTATAGCAAACTTGTTATTGAACAGCTTTTGGTATAGAAAAGTTGTTATCGGACAACTTTTCGTATAGAAAAGCTGTTATCGGACAACTTTTCGTATAGAAAAGCTGTTATCGGACAACTTTTCGTATAGAAAAGCTGTTATCGGACAACTTTTCGTATAGAAAAGCTGTTATCGGACAACTTCTCGTTAGAAAAGTTGTTATCGAACAGCTTTTTGCATAGAAAAGTTGTTATCGAACAGCGTTTTGCATAGAAAAGTTGTTATCGAACAGCGTTTTGCATAGAAAATTTGTTATCGAACAGCTTTTCGTATAGAAAAGTTATTATCGAACAGCTTTTCGTATAGAAAAGTTGTTATGTAACAACGTATCGTGTAGAAAAGCTGTTATCGAACAAGGTTTCGTGTAGAAAAGTTGTTGTCAAGGAACTTTTCGTATAGAAAAGTTGTTATCGAACAACTTTTCGTATAGAAAAGTTGTTATCGAACAACTTTTCGTATAGAAAAGTTGTTATCGAACAACCTTTCGTATAGAAAAGTTGTTATCCAACAACCTTTCGTATAGCAAAGTTGTTATCGAAGAACTTTTCGTATAGAAAAGTTGTTATCGGACAACTTTTCGTATAGAAAAGTTGTTATCGAACAACTTTTCGTATAGAAAAGTTGTTATCGGACAACTTTTCGTATAGAAAAGTTGTTATCGAACAACCTTTCGTATAGAAAAGTTGATATCGGACAACTTTTCGTGTAGAAAAGTTGTTATCGGACAACTTTTCGTATAGAAAAGTTGTTATCGGACAACTTTCCGTGTAGAAAAGTTGTTATCGAACAACTTTTCGTATAGAAAAGTTGTTATCGGACAACTTTTCGTATAGAAAAGTAGTTATCGGACAACTTTTCGTATAGAAAAGTTGTTATCGGACAACGTTTCGTATAGAAAAGTTGTTATCGGACAACTTTTCGTATAGAAAAGTTGTTATCGGACAACTTTTCGTATAGAAAAGTTGTTATCGGACAACTTTTCGTATAGAAAAGTTGTTATCGGACAACTTTTCGTATAGAGAAGTTGTTATCGAACAAATTTTCGTATAGAAAAGTTGTTATCGAACAAGTTTTCGTATAAAAAAGTTGTTATCGGACAACTTTTCGTATAGAAAAGTTGTTATCAGACAACTTTTCATATAGGAAAGTTGTTATCGGACAACTTTCCGTATAGAAAAGTTGTTATCGAACAACTCTTCATATAGAAAAGTTGTTATCGGACAACTTTTCGTATAGAAAAGTGGTTATCGGACAACTTTTTGCATAGAAAATTTATTATCGAACAACGAATAAATTTTTTATCGAATAAATTTTCGTATAGAAATATTGTTATCGAACAAATTTTCGTATAGAAAATGATATATTTTTTTAATTTATCCTCAGTGTACCCCCATACAACATTCCAGACGTTCCTTAATTCCCCTGTGACTAATAGAGAGGTAAAGCACAATAAGCATCTAATCAGCATCAGCATAACATCTACCTCCATTTATCTTAACTAGCCTAGTGCTCGACGTGACATTGAATTGTGTGATCATTCACATCACTCCAGTTGGAGAAAAAGTGCGGGTGAGATTCTTAGGCATTTTGAGAATTTGTGGTTTAGCTGTTGTTTTTTGCGGGGAAATTGAAACCGGCTACGAAACAACAACACCTTTATTGGTTAGTTGTGGCATGTATGTTTTGCTGTTCTCTTACCGTTATGGATATAATAATTCCTCACATCCGATGAGTTTTATATGCAAATTTAGAAATGCCCGGTCAGTCATTCGACCATTTAGAATAGAACAGATCAAAAAATGGCAGAAAGCAGTAACAACTTTTGACGCAGAAAAGTGGTTGAGTTTTTGGTAAGGCTGCTACAAAACAAATAAATTGTTAAGCGAGAAGAAATTTTGCCAAGAAAAGACTCCCTCCTACCCAAATCACAGTACAACAACAATAAAAATTGGCTGTTATTTATGGCCGGCAAAAAAAAAGAAGATGTTGACGAATAAACCACCAAATGGATGGAATGCCACGGAGGAATGAGTGAATCGATATGATCTGCCGCCAACTAGGTGTTGTGTGATATAAAACCTTAACACTTTAGAATATGCAATCCAGTATCACTGTGGATGCGGAACCAGAAACAACAAGACTTTAATAATTAAAATTAAATTTGTGGAATCGTTGCGTTTGAGAAAATTAAAATGAAAGCTTTTGTAAGTGTTTAAAAAAAATTGCAAAATGGAAAAAAGTTAAATTAGTGAAGTGCCAAAGAGAGACTTAAAAAAATAAGAAAATTAAAATCATTGAAATATAATAACAAATTATTGTCTTTTTCATGTGCATGTGTCAACATAAAGTGCCTGATTTTATTGTCCAGCTTGGCTCTGGTCTCAGCCTATTCGGCAAGACCAAAATATTTTGAGGATATGGTTGAAGCTGCTAACAAAAATTATCAACGTCGTCAACGTTCTCCCTACAACAATAATGGTTTTGGTAACAACAATGGTTTTGGCAACAACAACAACTACCAGACCAACAATTACAAGACCTCTAGCTACTCCTCCAATTCCGACAAGGATGCCGAAATTGTGCACAGTGATAGTGACATCAAAGCCGATGGCAGTTATTTCTACGAATTCGAAACCACAAATGGCATTAAACAAGCCGAACAAGGTTCGGCCGATGGTACCAAACAGGGTTCCAGTTCCTATATTTCACCCGAGGGTATTGAAATCAAGACCACCTATGTAGCCGATGAAACTGGTTATCATCCCGTTGGTGATCATATTCCCAAGATTCCGGACTACATTTTACGTTCCCTGGAATATATTCGTACCCATCCTTATGTTGAGAAGGACTACTATACGGGTGAACTGAAACAGGCTTCATTCAATAATTTCGAAAAAGTTCTGCCACCTCGTCATCAACAACAATATCAATCGAATAATAGATATAATTTCTAAACTGGTTGTGCGTAGTCCAGTGAGTCTTGTAAATATTTGGCGAAGCCCTGTAAATACTCATAATGCAAAGCAAAACGAGCGATTAATGTAATTATTTTAATTTTTTTTAATGTGCAAAATAATGTAAATTTTTTATGTCTGTTTCTTAATAAAAAATAAACAGTATTTTGAAAAAAAAAAAGTAATATTAATAAAATATTTTATCTCAAGCCCTAAGTGACCAAATTTGGAAATATCAGTAGGTTTACCGACAAATGTGCAACCAAGATATAATAATCAGGGAAGATTCTTGAAAAGATCCACAATGTTAAATCAAAAAAGTTTTCAAAATTTTCTTTACATTTATTTAGGCTTGAGGTCAATTAAAAAAATAAAATCAAACCCTGTTTTTATACCCTACAGCACATAGTGGTAAGGGTATTATGACATTTGTTTGTAACATGGAGAAGGAAGCTAGTTACGTTTGAGAATCTTCATAGAATCACTTTCTGAGTTAAACAATATTTGTTTGGCCCAAGGACGAACCCTATTGAAATTGGTGAGAATCGGTTAAAATTTAGATATAGCTCCCATATACAGGGTGAGATGAAAAAACTGCAGCCAACTTAAGACTGCTGTCATTTCTAAGCCACTCGTCCGACAGCTGTTAAAATTATTCCAGTGACAGCTCGTTATATTGTTTACAAGCGTACAAAATTTGGTGAGAATTTTCCAGAAAAAATGTTATTCGTGATGGAATTCAAGCGTGATAGTGTGATTTCTTTATATTTGGCTGGAAAACCACAAGTGTCTATCGTTAGAGCACTCCAGCATTTAAATGTGAATACATGTTTTGTGTCTCGTACCATCCCTCGTTACCGTGATATTGGTAGCGTAGCCCGACGTCAAGGAAGTAGACGGAAGAAGACAGAAACATCAGCAGAAATGGTTCGAAAAGTAAAGAAGCGACTTGATCGAAACCAGCGTCGCAGTGGCCGAAAAATGGCTCGTAAACTCAACATATCGCAATATTCCATTCGGAAAATATTGAAAATTAGCTCGGGGTACAGTCATTGAAATTCCGAAAAGTGCAACAGAAAGAAAATGATCTCAAAAGAGCTAAAGAGCTACTTTGCTTGGCCGAAAGTGGTAAACTGCCGAATTTGGTTTTCTCCGATGAGCTAACATTCGTTTTCCAGCAGTTTGTAAACAAACAAAATGATCGTGTTTACTTGCCAAAGAAGTCAGCTGAAAATGTGCACCTTCGATTGATCACCAGAACTCAAGTGCCGGCCATGGTGATATTATGGGCTGCCATAATAGCCGATGGTCGCTCTCCGCTCATATTAATCGACCGTGGCATCAAAATAAATACTGAATATTATCGCGAAAATATTCTGCCTTGGGCACGCAAACATTTTTGCCGCAGACCTTGGACATTCCAACAGAACTCAGCACCATCGCACTTAGCACGCGCCTCCCAAGAATGGTTACAAAATGAGGTTCCTCGCTTCATTTCCAGCGCACAATGGCCACCAAAATCACCTCAAGCAAGCGTTTCGCCGGGAATGGGCCAAAATACCGCAGAACAACATTCGTGTAACGTGTTACGGTTTAATTGGCCGTTTGAAGGCCATAATTCCTACCAAAGTTGACCAATCTAAAATTATTCCAGAATTTTATGCTATTTCCGACATTTTTTTGCTTTCATTCAACAAAATTAAAAAAAAAATGTAAAAATTATGGAGTTTGATTTTTTTTATCACCTACACAGGAGAAATTGGATTGGGTCCACTGTTAGAAAGTAGTTAAGGATGCGGACTTGTGGTCTCCATTTTTGAAAAGAGCATCAAAAATGCTACTAACCAAACCCATCTGGAAATTGCACATTGGCCAGACTTATATTTCATATGGCTACTCTCAGGAGAAATTGGTTTGGGCCCACTATGCGAAAAATAGGTGAACTAATAGCAATATCGATGCTCTTTCCAACGTGCATCCTTAACCATTTTCCCACAGTGGTTCCAAGCCAATTTCACATTAGAGTGGCTATATGAATACTTAGGTAAGGCATATGGTATTACCGGCGAAAACAAAGATAATGCTTTACAAAACTAGCATTAGGCCTGTACTGGTGTACGCACTACCTATATGGTTCCCAATCTCTCCAACGGTAATGAAAGAGTTTGAGATATTCGAAAGAACAATACTTCGTCTCTGCGTTGGAAAAATTTTTCAGTACCATAATAAGCGTTTCTCAAATCGGTATATATACCCCAATATCAGTATATGCTATTCGTTTAATTAAAAACTACACCAACAGGGCTTTTATGCATTCAAACTTGCTTATTCAGGAATGTGTTAATAAGGAATCTAATTTCACGTTTGAAAATACTAATTACGTCTCACCGTTGGGTATTAACTTGTACATGTCTCTGGAAGATATTCAGTGTCCAGAATTTTACGTTAGCACCTCTCGTGGAATTCACAGGGGCTAGTTAACAACTTGGATGAACAATCTTTCGATTGATCATCTCTGTTGATTAAGTGTAGGTTAGGTTTAGGTTAAGTTAGTTTTAAGGTAAATAATATGAGACATGCTCTCAAACATTGTAGTGCCGGAAGCAAGCACGATATACAAACTTAGTTTAATTACAAATTTTAGTAAAGCCAGACGCTGAAAATACGCTTTAGTCATTAAAACAAAACATTATAGTTTTAAGCATTTCTTTCTTCACTTCAAAATTGTAAATTTTCGTGTTAAAAAAAGACTCAATAAATTTGAATTGAAAAAAAGCGGTATAATAGAATTTTCGATGCTATTTCCAGATATGTACACCACAAAAGTGTATCTTTGACCATTTTGCCATAGTGAGCCCAAACCAATTTCTATTTGGAGAAATGTCAGTGAGGTCACTGAAGGATTCTCCGAAGGGTCTGATTGCGCATACATTTTTGCATTCAGGGATTTCCGTTATTTCTTTAAAACTCACTTTTATTGCCTGCCAGTTTATTGATCTGTTCCAGAACCTGCAAGAATCTACTAGATTTGCAATTTTCTTCGATATCATAAAGGGAAAATCGGTTATCGTAGTAAAAACTTTTACATTCTTGCAGTTCTGGAGCAGACCATATGTGTTTAGTGTTTTGAATGTCAAGTTGGATGTTGGAACCATGGTACAATAAAAAGGTAAGGTAGAGCTTCCAGCTGATTACAATTTTTTTCTAAGTGTGCCCAACTTCTGCCAATTATAGTTGTGTTCCAGTACTTTTTTAGTAGTAAAACTAGCAGAAGAGAGAACAGTTCGAAATGTCATTCTCATTTAGGTTTGCTCAAAAAATAAGGGAACGGAAAATTAGCAGAAATGCGATAAAACGTCAAAATTCAAAATTCCAAAAGTAAACAGCCTAAATCGGACTGGTGAAACCTTACTGAAAAGAGCGCCAACATTTAAAAAATGAGTATTGAAGACGATAAGTTAAAATTAATAATTTATAATAATAATTAATAATCTGATTCCTCATTCAGCCAGTCCTCTTCACTGCTGGAATCATCCAAAAGTGAATATACATCAGTTGCTCCATATTTTCTCTTTTTGTTTTTAGTTTTTTTTTTTTTTTAGTTTTTCCTTTAATTTTCAACTTGATCATTTTCTTTATTGAAACGTATCAATACATTTTTCAACCTTGTTAGCCCTGCCAATTAAATGTCAAATTTACAATATGCACATTTCTGCTCGGCCAAATTCATGTAGGTAAAACAAGCAGAAATGTGCACCACTCAGCGCCATTTTTTTCTCGAGAGAGCTGCAAGTTTTGCTAGTTTTTGGAGTACGGGAACGCGTTGTAGCAGAATTAGAGCTAATTAGTACTAATTTGCAGGTTCTGGAACACAACTAATGTGAATGTATTTATTGTTTTGAAAAATAAAAACAAAATATTTTTAAAATCATGATTGGAAGACGCATACATTGCGGAATGCGAGTTTTGTCATGTATTTGAAAGATCGAACCATTTAGATCATATTTTTCAAAGAAAATCCAGACATTTCATACGTTTTCGCGCCGTTTAACTGATTTTAAAAATGAGAAAAAAATATTGAATAAATGAAAACAACTTGTTGTGTATCATTTTGAATGAGTCTGACAGGAAGCAGTCATAGCCTCAGGGCTGTATTTCTGTAGTTTTACGAAGCTGTTTTTCCTCCTTATTGTAGCATGGTTAGTGTGTAGATTCCGCAATGGATTTAAAATAAATCTGGTCGTGAGATCTATTTTTGTATGGTTAAATTAATTATGTATTTAATATTTAAAACGTTGTATCTGAACGCGATGTTAACATCAATTCCACTTTTACAAAAAAGCATTAAGAAATAATTCTTCTATGCATCTGCACCTTTATGCTGACAATTTCCAGTAATGAATTTTTCCAGCATTATAAAACAAAAACAAGTCGCGATATTGTCCATTTTCATACTTTTCCTACCTGCAGCAAAATACTGTAAATATCTTTACAGCTGTACTTATATATTTAAGAAAGAACCATAAAATATAAATTTGACAATGAAGGGACATCAAAAAAAAAATTGCAATCGTATGATTACATGAGACTACCTTGATAATTTTACCATGAATTCAACGTTGTATAATACCATTGCATTATAAAAATTGTAATTTTTATTTGGTATTCTCAACAGGTTAAAAGTGCAACGAATACATTTTGCGAAACAGCTATTTTCGTGCTAGATTTTACTGTTCGCAAAATTTGCTCGAAAGAGAGAAAATCCTCCCGGTACAAGGAATAAATAGTTCGTTGGCAATAAATGTAAATTGCTTGCAAGCTCATATCTTAGGAGGGACTTAAAATTTTAATTTTGACAATTACATAAAAAAATATTTATTTTATGAATACAGGTAGTCGCATCGACACAGCTGCTGGGACAATGAACTGTCCAACTGATTTTGAAGTTGAAAATGTTGAATGAAAAATTATTAAAATTTGTAAAAATTGTTGAAAAGTGCATATTATAACAACCTCAGATTTGCGTCGTATAAAAAAATTAAAAATCTACTTAATTTTGTTAAAACATTTAAAAAAAATTTGACATCAATGTTCCCAAGCGTTGATACATCTAACAATATTCTTCTACCATGATTGATACTATCTCTTTGATTCTACCATGATATGTTTCTTCGCAAAATACATACAAGGCAAATTTAAAAAGGTCACATAGGAACCGAACTCAGGTCACATTCTTCTCTGGCGTTTAATTAAAAAGAATTATGTTTTGATGGCAAATAAAGATAGTGGCTGGCCTTACCGCGACACATTGTTCATACACCTCGGGAAAAATGCAACGATGATTATTGGGTTATTTAAAGACTTATGTGTGTTATGTTTACATTAGAGTTTTTGCCGGGTCAATCTCCTCTATGCGCGCATTTATTTAAATCCGGTAAAATGTAAACAAACTGTTAGGTATTTATTCCCTTTTTATGGAAATGTACCTAAACAGATGTCAATGCTAATATTTGGAAGTCAATCAATAAATACACATTTAAGGCCAGCTATTTTTACACTGACTTTGGAATTGTAACCTTTAGTATTTTTATTAAGATTATTTACGATCATATAAATAAAGATACAAATTATTTAAACACTCCATAAAAGTTTCAGAAAAGAAATGATTATTGAATCCATTAAGACGACCTTCAAAATTGGGCATAATATCGAGACGAATCGAATAACAATAACAACAAGAAAATAAGTCAGTCAGTCGGAGCCCACATATTAGCAAAAAATATTGTTACTCAATGAGACCGGTAGGTGGGATATGCGTAACACTCTCATAACGTTCTGCGAGACATATTTCTTACAACAATAACGGGCATAGAGAAAACCGGTTCTTTTTTGAATGAAGAGGGAGAGAGAGTCACCCAGACGGTTTGGCATGGTCGCATGGCCACACAAAAACAAATAATAAATAAAAGTCTTGTAGGGACGTCTAGACTCTATACTAACATATTTGAAAACAACAAAACTTACCTTAAAATCTTTGGCATCAACGCCCTCCAAATTCTGACAAATGTCCAGACTATCAATGCCAAAACTACCGGGCAAGGCATAGATCTTAGAAACCAATGGACTTTGCGACAATTTCCAGCATATGGCATGTTCCCGGCCGCCACTGCCAATAACCAAAACTTGTTTACCAAGAGCAGGCATTTTCTGTTTTTCTATTCGATTTTTTTAAAGAATTTTAGATTTTTTCTTTTAGTTTTCAACTACGAAATATATATTCGTTTGGCACAACTCCTTTTGGAAACAACGAAAAACCCAACCGGCTTGCTTCTAAAACAACCAACCCACGTGCTTATCTTTTCGAAAAATTGAACACAACACAAATGTCTCGACGCAAAAGATACACACGTTTTTGCCTGCTTGCGTTTGTTCGCTTTCAAATGGGGGAAAACGTTTCCAAAAAAAATATGTTCAGCGCACGAGAGTACCGGTTTGAGCAATGCTCAAATTTCTACTAAATTTTATTAAATTCTAAGGGAGTCAATTAACCATACAAATCGCTGGTAGCAGTTCTGTTAGGAACACTGCCAGACAGACAGACAGTGAACACATATGTACGCACATACAGTAAAACCAATAAACCCACGGCTGATTGACAATCGGCCGATCGGGGAGACAAATACAAAAATAACATTTCAAGTTACACTTGTTGGAGATGCTTGTTGTTGCTGATCGCTCCAATGGAAATGTTGTCAACAACAACGACTGTACACACAAAGGCAGCAGCTGATAACAACATGAAAAGCAAACTATAGTAGCGAGCAAAATTATGCTGAGCTATTTGTGTCACATGTATTTTTTTTATAAATATTATTAAAGGAATAAAAAAATGAAATAAAATGTGGTTACAAACATGTGATCTGTTCCAGAACTGCAAGAATGTAAAAGCTTTTACTACGATAATCGATTGTCTCTTTATTATATCGAAGACAAGGAAAGGAACTGATGCTTCTTCTAGAGATAGCCGGGCAGAAAGCCTTAGATAGATATCTTGCAACCGATTTCTGCGAGCTTCTTCGATGAGAGTCTTTTTGACATAATACCTTATGGCTGGTCTGACTGTTTCATCAAACCGCTGAGAACCACCGAAAAATGGCTCGCGAGCTGAACATATCACAATATTCCATTCGGCAAATATTGAAAAATGAGCTCAGGGTTAAGTCATTGAAATTCCAAAAAGTGCAAAAACTTACACCGCAATAGAAAGAAAATAGACTCAAAAGAGCTAAAGAGTTGCTTCGCTTGGCCAAAAGTGGTGAACAGCCAAATTAGGTTTCTCCGATGAGAAAACATTCGTTGTCCAACAGTTTGTAAACAAACAAAATTATCGTGTTAACTTGCCAAATAGGTCAGCTGAAAATGTGCACCTTCGGTTGGCCACCAGAACTCAAGCGCCGGCCTGTGTGATGGTGTGGGCCGCCATAGCAGCCGATGAGTGCTCTACGCTCGTATTCATCGACCGTGGCATCAGAATAATTTCCGAATATTATCGCGGAAATATTCTGGAGGGTGTATTAAAGCCTTGGGTACCCAAACATTTTGGCCGCAGACCTTGGACATTCCAACAGGACTCAGCAACATCGCACCACCCAAGAATGGTTACAAAATCAGGTTCCTCGCTTCATTTCCAGCGCCCAATGGCCACCAAAATCTCCGAATACCAATCTGTTTGACTATTGTGTCTGGAGTATTGTGGAAAGCAAAGTTGGCCTTACAAAATGCCAAAGTGTCGATCACCTCAAGCAAGCGGGAATGTGCCAAAATACCACAGAGCAACATTTGGGCAACGTGGGACGGTTTCACTGGCCGTTGGAAGGCCATAATTTGTGCCAAAGGTGACCAATTCGAACAAATCTAAGCTTTCATTTAATAAAATTTTAAATAAAATTTAAAAAGTATTTTTTATCTTGTCCTGTTGGTGTTAAAACATACATAAATATTTTTTTTTATTGTTCTATAAACATACTTTAGATTTAATTACCAAAACAAACAATAAATACAAAAATCAAACACACCTACATATTTATAAGTTTTAAAACTGCTTATACAGCATTATTATATCACATATTTGGACTATTTTATTGTTACAGTTAATTTTCTTTATTTTAGTTCATTGGCCATTGGTTCATTCACTTTTGCAATGTTTTTAAGTTTCTTTAACACATTTATTTATTTTGCTTACATAGCATTTAATGTCTACTAGTATCCGACCTACATTACAATTAATTTATATCAGCATTTATCAATAGCATTTTTTAATTAATTATGTTAAGAAATTTTGTATATAAAGACAGCCAGAAATAAAGAAAATTCAGTCGTCTTTTGTAGTGACTAAACTAAGAGTTTTAATTACTATCTAGGCGGCTTCCTTCAAGTTCATGTGCTTGGAAGGAAATTAATTTGGATACTAAGTGTCAGTTCAAATTTATGTGTTTGGATTGAATCGCACTAGATCCTACTATCATAACATTTTTTGGTGACCCCGATCAAAACATTTTTTTTTTTTTTTTTTTTTGGAGGCCCCGGCGAGATCGTTTACACACATCCTTTTGCCCCACAAGTGGTAAAGGATTTGAATCGTAAGACGTGATCGTTTACACACATCCTTTTGCCCCACAAGTGGTAAAGGATTTGAATCGTAAGACGTGATCCTGACGATAACTAAACCGAAACATTTTTTGGTGACGTTATCCACAAGGTGTACCAATTTCAAAAACCCCCTTTTGGAGCTCTGGAGGAAAACCAGGAGGAAATTGCCGGTAACTAATCATCATACAACAACTGCTGCTACTCGCTGATAAATCAACAAACAATAATGGCAAACGTTCAAGAGCTTATTTCTCAGCAAGAAGAAAGAGGCAGCAATTTCGAAAAATTCGTCTCTACTATAAAGAAGGCACCTCTTGAAAGGAGAACGGAAGAGTTCTACAAGAGCAAACTTGATGAACTAAGGCTGTTATGGCAGAATTTTGAGAAGGCAGAAAACAGAATTCGCGATGATCCATCATTGTCAGAGGATGATCCGTATATTGCTCGGAATCTATATAGAACGATTGGAGAGAAGTTCAGCTCAACAATGGAATATATAGACGCGGAAATAAAGAAACTGAGGTCAGCCAAAAGTAAGCCAGTTCCCACCTTGAGAGAGAAATCGACTGAAGTTGTCGCAGGAGACAAAATACCTTCCCGTGTTGATGGGCTTGTCAGAATGATAAATGCTCGAATGAGTGCCCTTAGTCGTCACTTGCAAGGCTTGGGCACAATCGAAGCGGAACAGCCGAAGCAATTTTATAGCATCAAAGAAGATACTATAAAAAAGCTATGGAATCAAATAACGGAGCTCTACGATGAAATATTGCAGCAGATTGAAGATCCATCGAAAATTGGATTAAGTCAAGAAAACTACGATATGCTGGAAGATTCGGTACAAGACAACTTAATAAAACTTGCAGTCTTGAAAGACAAATGCAGCGAAACCGTGACCATTGCACCTCAATTAGGGAGTGACATTATAGCACACAGTTCACTCCCACTACCAAAGGTAACAATTCCTCAATTCAATGGGGATTGTTTGAAGTGGCGTCAGTTCTATGAACTTTTCTTGGAGATGGTAGACAAACAGTCTCTTCCAAGTGTTCAAAAAATGTGGTATCTCAAAACCAATTTGTCTGGCGAGGCTGGCAAACTAATCAGTCATCTATCCTTGACAGAGGATAATTACAAAACGGCATGGATGTTGCTGCAAGAACGTTATAACAATAAGCGGGTTCTTGTTTCCACTCTAGTAGAACGGATTTTGAGTCAACCAAATGGAACTTCATCAACGGCCTCCATCAAGGCTCTGCATGACACTACAAGGGAATGCATGCTAGCCCTCAACAATCTTCAAATCGACACAACGTCTTGGGATGCTCTATTGATTCAATTGATCACAAAGAAATTGGATCACGCTCTGTACATACGATTCATGCAATCACTGGCGAATCCGAAGGAAGTTCCTACTATGAAAGAGCTGTTTTCATTTTTGGAACTTCAATTCGAATCAATGGAATCGATTGGAAAAGCGGCATCTACGCACAAGGGTTTAACCAAAACTGTTTCGTCCGTAACATCAGTGGAGGATCACAGGAGTTGTAAACTATGCAAGAACGACTCCCATCCAATTTATCATTGTAAGAAGTTCTTGGCAATGACAGAAGGTGAGCGATTGAAATGGATACAGCAACATAAATTGTGTGTAAATTGTTTCAAATCGGACCATGCAGCAAAAACTTGTTTTTCTGGCAACTGCAAAATATGTAGTAATAAGCACAATACATTGCTACATTTGCCAAAAAAAATCTCAACCGTCGCCGAAGGCCTCAAATCAATCACCACCAACAAAAATCGATATCGCACCAGTCAACGTTACTGCAGTTTCTTCGGCATCAGCGGAAGATCAGAAAAATGTTATTCTAGCAACGGCTAGAGTCATCATCAAAGCGACTAACGGTATGTCAGGCGAATTTAGAGCGGTGTTAGACTCGGGTTCGCAAGTGAACATTGTGACGGAAAGACTCATACAAAAATTGTCACTTAGAACAGCAGATGCCTCTTTATCTATTTCCGGAGTCGGAAGGATTCAGAAGAAGGCTTATCATCGGGTAAACATACAAATGTTATCAAGCAATTCTGAATTTTCCACAAATTTGGAAGCATTTGTTTTGCCCACAATTATACCTCCGCAACCAAATCATGATTTGGATATACAAAACTGGCAAATTCCCAAGAATATTAGATTAGCAGACCCTAATTTTAACGTTCAAGGAAAAATTGACATTTTACTCGGAGCTGAGTTTTACTTCAGTTTAATGCAACCAGGCACAATAAAACTAAATGGTCATCAACCCATACTCCAAAATACTGCGCTTGGCTGGATTGTAGGTGGTTTAGTTCAACAATCGTCAACGGACGACACATCAGCAGCGCTAACATGCGCAATTTTTAGTGAAACATCACTGGAACAAGCTATCGAAAAATTATGGAAACTTGAGGAAGTGGAATCAACTGAAAAGGTCATGTCTCCATTAGAAACCCTTTGCGAATCTCACTTCAATCAACATGTTAAGACGGATCAGAATGGTCGTTTCATCGTCAGCTTTCCGTTTCAAGAATCTCCAACAGCATTGGGGAAATCACATGCAATGGCTTATAACCGATTTATGAGCCTTGAACGCCGACTTCTACGGAAGGAAGATATCCGAAGTCAGTACATTAAATTTATGCGAGAATATGAACAATTAGGACACATGCAAAAGATTGACGTGTGTACCGTATCAAATCCTAAATATTTTATTCCGCATCATTGTGTTCTCAAGCCCGATAGTACAACAACAAAACTTAGGGTTGTATTTGACGCATCAGCGAAAACTTCATCAGGTCAATCGTTAAATGATCTAATGTATACAGGACCAATCGTACAAA